GTGTGTGTACGTGTGAATTTATGTATGTGCGCGAATGTAAGAGTGTGTGTCTGAATGTGTGTTTCTGTGAGAGTCGGAGGGAGTCTGTGTGAGCTTGTATGCATGAGAGTGAGTGCATACATGTGTGTGGATGAGTGTATGTACGTGTGAGTGTGAGTGCTCATGAGTGTGTTTGTGTGAGTGTATGTGTGTGTATGTGTGTGCATGTGTGCATGTGTGTGTGTGTTGGGGACGGGGCGCACGGGCCCTTTGGTGAGCAGGGGCATTTTTGCAGGCCAGCGGTTCCCTCGTAAACTGTGGGCTCTTTGGGAGTCCTGCTGAGTGACCAGTGACAGGAGAGACCCTCTGTGGTGAATGATCAGCATTCTTTTCCTTTTATTTCCTGCCCATCATGGACCAATACTTTTGTAAAATATGCTAAAAATGAATTGCTACCAAGATGTAATTAAAAAGATACAGAATACCAGCCCCAATTTCAAATTTTTAGATGCAAGAGGCATAAAATTCCTCTGTCAAATTGCTCTGAAGGTTTCAGAAAGCTCCCTTTGAGTTTCTGCACGGGGCTGGGTGGTCACAGGGTGGCGGAGCCGCCCAGTGCTGCCCTGAGCTGGACCCACGGGCTGAGGCGGAGATGCGAGAAAGGCTGGGATGTGTGGGTCTTTAGCTGCAGACTAGCCTGGAACCCCTCTGATGTTCAAGCAGAGACTTAATGAAGGGTCTCAGCAGGTGGCATAGATTTGGGGCCAGAGTAAGAGGCTCAGGCTGCGCCTCCCAGCAATGCCACCTCTGCCACCTGCGTGCCAGCAAAGTGGGGGCTCTGGGACCCTGAGTCTCTGGTCCCTGAGCTCATTTCTGAGTCAGAAGCCATGGGTGTGTGCACCTGGCTGGTGATAGCTAATTTTTTGCTTTGCTGGGAGCCCGACATTGGATGTGTGATAGCTTTGTCTGAAAGTAGCTTTACAAATGCCCCCCATATGGGGATTCACTAATTATAGTGCATATATTTTATACAGAGAATTACAATCATTTGATTTTTCTTTTTTTCTCCAACAGTATCAAAGCGTGTCTTGTACCTTTTGGTCTGGGGTGTCTGGGGGTGGAGGGAGTGAACTGAATGGTCAAGGTGTGGTGGAAAACTGCTGTGGGGACAGACAGCGGGAAAGACACAATCTGCCTTTGTCTTAATGCTTTTTCATAATAGTCTTTTTAAAATCTGAAGCATCTGATGAGCATCCCATCAAAACAGCCTCAGCCTCCCCCCGATGGTGGTGATGTGCTGAGAAGGACCGTTTTGTGGTGCTGGGGAGTTGGGGAAGGGACCCTGGCAGAGGATGATGCCATTTCAAGGTGACCTTGGATGGCCAACTTTTTGAAATAGCCAGTAAGAGGTTCAGGTGTTTGCCGATGCCTCTGGCTCAACATTTTTGGGGTGAAATCTTTGAGCGCAAGGAAGTCAAGCAAAGGGGTCATCTTTGCTGGATTTTGCTGTCTTATCTGAGTGGGTATTTTCTCAATAGCCAGAAAGACTTTTGCAACTGAGCCCAGGTCTAGGATCTTGTCCTCACCTCCCTTCTGGTTCTAGAGACCTCTGTGCGCATCTTTTGGCTCCTCTAACCCACACCTTTCTCTAGGTGATCACAGCACAGGGCACCATAAATATCTTGTCTTTGTTAAGCATCTTAAATATCCTGTCTTTGTTTCTGTTCTCAGGGCAGGAAGATCCGAACAGTTTGCGCCATAAATACAACTTTATTGCCGACGTGGTGGAGAAGATTGCTCCTGCCGTGGTTCACATCGAACTGTTTCGCAAGTAAAGAGAGCCTTCTTTTTTTTCCCACTGCCTCTGAAGCTCCCACCAAAAACGCTGCCGTTAACAAAACATCAGAGCTATTTTTGAGACACTTTAAAGTGTCACTGAATATAGTCCTACAGGAAGATAAGCATTTCTCCCTTGGGATGTTTTCCTGTTTGACTATTTAAATCTACATTCTTGACCCTTCTAGATGTTTTAAGAACCTCTGGTTCTGAAGAGGTTCCCTAAGAATGTTTTCTAAGTGGAATTTTTAGATGCGTATCAAAGTCAGCCTAATATTCCATTTTTTTAAAGTTAAATAAACCCAATATATAAAGTAGCAATTGCTGGGTGTGTGTTGCTGTTACCAAACCAATTCATCAATGTGTCAAAGAATTGATTTTTAAGGTGTTTCAGCCTTAACTGGGTACCGTTTTTGGTTCTAGGCTCCCTTTTTCTAAGAGGGAGGTGCCGGTGGCCAGTGGGTCTGGGTTTATCGTGTCTGAAGATGGACTGATTGTAACAAATGCCCACGTGGTGACCAACAAGCATCGGGTCAAAGTTGAGCTGAAGAACGGTGCCACCTATGAAGCCAAAATCAAAGATGTGGATGAGAAGGCAGACATTGCACTGATCAAAATTGACCACCAGGTAAATGTGTTCCCACCTCCAGGACCACGTTCTCAGGTGCCTTGGCTAAAATTTAGCAGAACCTGGAGAGATCAAAAGGACCGGAACTCCCTGATTTCATGAGATTCTCAGAGAGAGCACTGAAGCGGGTCTGAACCAGTCAAGTCTGGACCAAAGGAGAGCATTTAGGAGATGCTGAGTGTGGTCTGGGGTGGGGGAAGGGAGGGAGCTCATGGGAGCTTCTTTAATAAGCAGACGATAAGAGCAGAGTTTTAACAACAGTGTTTTTTGTTTTTGTTTTTTGTTTGTTTGTTTTAATGGAGGTACTGGGGATTGCATCCAGGACCTTGAGCATGCTAAGAATGTGCTCTACCACTTGAGCTATTTCCCTCCCTTCTCTGCTTTAAATTTTTATAAAGTAAAGCAATAGGTTTGTGAAGAAATGAGTAGATAAGCAGTGAAATTGAGTCTCCCTTCTATTCCTGCCCCCGAGGCAACTGTTGCTACAGGTTTTTGTTTATTTGTGCACTCACCGTGTATGGAGTATTTACCGAGTTTTGAAGTTAGCCATCATTAGCATGTAAACAGCCGCTGTGAAAACAAACCAGGTCGCCCCAACTGGGTCTTTGCAGAGTTAGGAGATGTATTTTAAAGCAATACTCCATACTCGAAGTTTTGGAAATCTTGAGTTAAAACAAAGCTAATGAATTTCTTCCTCGTAGCCACTTCTCTGCGCTTTCAATATGCTCATGTGGCTCTCCTGCCAAAGGATGTGTGCAGGGAAAGCTACAAATATCTCAGTGTAGAACTTGTCGTTTCCCCCCTCCCCAAAACTGAGACATTAAGAGCTCAGTTTAGGAAATGGTTTGCTTTCTATTGAAATATTCTTCTTGTAGTCATTTTCCCTCTGTTGATTTGTTTAGCAAAGTCTTTCTCTCTGAAATTGAATCCCATTGCTATTAGACTGTCAGAAATTCCCACTTGCTGGTCTGCTGGTTTGCTCTGTGCCAGGTGCTAAGGAGGTTGTGTCTTCTGGTTTCTCCAGGCCCCTGTCATTTTTCCCTGACTTCCTGTGGAAGGAGGACTCAGGGTAGGTTCGAACCTCGTTTCTGGCCCAGGAACAGATCGTAGACTGAGAGCCAGGGGCAATCTTCCTTTCCAGCTCTCTGTACATTTCACCTGGATGGGGGCTGTGAGGTCAGACCCGGGTGGCACAGCACAGACTGTTCATCCAGACAGAAACGGGTTCTGTGCCCGGTGTAGGTGACTGGCCTTTAATGAGGTTGCAATTGCATATTATTTCTGTTGGGTTGCCGTGGAATTTCTGTAACAACTCATCTTTCAAAATGTGCTTATTGGTCACAGCATAATCATAATAACTTCTACTCGACAAGCTCCAAAGCTGGACCAGGCTCTGACTTCATTTGTCACTGTCACCTGACCTACAAGATAGCTGTATCATTCCCATTTTATATAGGAAGAAACAGCGGTTCAGAGAGCTTAAGCCACCTGCCTGAGGCCACACAGCTATGCCGTGGTGAGTTACAGCCTCCGAAGCCAGCCAGACTTCCCAAGTGCCCAAGCCCACGGTCATTATAGGAAGGATACAGCTGGTCTTCTGTTGTGATGGGTGGTCTGATGGGAAGGCTCAATTTTAAATAGCCCACAGGGAGGCTGGCACACCCCTGTTTAGGAACAGGCTGCTTGAAAGGAGTCCAGGATGTGGTAGTCTCACCGGAAGGAGGCTGGCCAGAATAGAACATCCTGTGGCCGCATGCGGGGCTTCTCAGCTCCTCCGAGCCCTGGGAGGGCAGCCCGCCGTGGGGGCTCTCTGCAGGCAGGACGCTGGTCGGATGCTGTGTGCGCTGCCCCCGCTGAGTAATTTCATGTTTGGCACGCGTGGGTGAATCCCATGCAACTGCTCTGGCCCAGGGATATTCTTTTCAGATTTTGAGCCAAGGTGGAGAGTATCTCCTCCTGTCATCCCCGGCATGTCTAGGCAGGATGTGAACCAGCTCCACAGACCAGCTTTGCAGGGTGTTTCTGACCCGGCTCTCGCTGTTCCCAGGAGGCTAGCCTTCTGCCAGCAGCACGCTATTTGAGATGAGTTTCTAGCCCAAGAAAAAGGAGCTTGCAAATTTAAAGTTGAACTAATGTGGCTTTTCAAAATGGAATCGGAAATGAAAGGATATTGAATTGCAAACACCCACACAAGAGACTGGTTTCCACTGACTAACCTTTTTTTTTTTTGCTGATAGTCATTGGAAGTGGGAGACTGAAAACATCTCTTCCAGCTCTTTCTATTTTGTTCCCTTAGTTTGATGATGGATTATTTAGGAGAAGGGGGCGGAGACTGGCTTGTAATGAGGCTCAGTTTGGATGGAGCCTCTCACCTCGGTGAATATGATTGTATAATGCGCAGGCAACGCGTTGGTGGGGGTTGGAGGGGAGAGGGGGAGGCGGGCTTGCTTTGCACTGTGTCTCCTCCGGAGCAAGAAACAGAGCAGGAAATCTCAGAAGAAGCAGAACAGAACCAACAAAAATTAGACTCATGGACCGAAATCATTCCAAATGGCACTTATGCTATGAGGTCAAGGTCCAGCCTCCCCAGGGCCATTTCCAAATAACTCAGTAAAACTTGTGTGACCACCCCCCACATACATGGGCCCAGTGGCTAAATTGGTGGCTCACAAGCTGGGCCCGTTTCCTCTCCGCAGCACCAGCATTTCATGTGAAGGATTCTCCATTACTTAAACGGCAATCCTCCTTCCTGAGCGTGCTATTCTTGCCACTTTTAATGAATGGAAATGACCGCGGACACCTGTTGTCACTGTCCACTTGTCTCCCACGCCGCTCCCTTTTCTTCTGGGAGCAGCAGCCAGCATTTTCCTTTGGGGTCTACTTCTTCCGCACTGGACAGTCTTGGTGGGGACATCAGTCATGGCGCCCCATCCCCTGGGGCCAAGGGGTGGGCACAGGACCCATCAGATCGAGCAGGTCCTCCTCTTGGAGCTGCAGCTGGATGTCACCGGCAGAAAAACTACATGGGGAAGGCTGGTGTAGCCCCCGCTGCTGAGGCCTCCGGCGCTGAGTCCCTGTCCTTTCTGAGCCTGGTCTGCCTCCTTTCCCTTCCATTCTTCAGGCCCTCCTCACATTTTCAGTAAACCTCCCTTGCCTTGAAGTTGCCAGAGATATTTCTGGGCTTGCAACCAAAGGCCTTTTTTGCTTTTCACTGCTGAGCAGACACATGTGCACTCACTTTCCCCACTGTCTTGAGCCAGGAAGAACTTTTGGAAGAAAGCTCACTGAGCAGGGCAGCCGTCTTTTCCTGGTCTGCTGCCCCCACCAAGCTGGAGGAGGAGGGTGTCCCCCAACAGGCCCGCCCCCTCCAACCGCAGCTGGCCTGGACATCTCTTTCTGTGCTTCTGTCCTAGAATTTGCAACTCCCCTTTTTTTGGAGCCGTGACTGTGGCCAGCATTCACCAGGGGAGGGAAGTAAGGACAGTGTGCATGCAAACAGTTTAATAGAAAGCAGCTTTGAGGGCAAACTAGTTCAGCTTCAGATAAAAACAGTTTCCAAATGTGTTTAACATGACGCTGGCTGTGTTTGCAGAACATTTAAAAATTTTATCCAAAGGCAGCATTTTGTCCGTGCAGTTTTTTGCTGAGTCGTTCAGGAAGAGAGAGAGAAAATATTTGGTTTCTTTAGGCCAGAGTGCAGGACAGAAATACTGGGGATGGACTGAAGGAGGGAAGAGAGGAAAGTCACTTTTGTCCCAGCTGTTTCTCCAGCCGAGTTGATTAGGAACAAGCTAGAGAAAAGCACATGTCCTCGCCTTGATGGTTGCAACTTTCAGATGTGTCCTGTCTGCCCCCTGGGAGCCCCTTTATTCTTATAGAGAGATCTTAACTCCTTAGCAGGGCCTTCAAGACCCACCCAGCCTGATGGGCACCCCTCTCTCCCCACCCCCTCTGCTCTCTCTACCCCTCACCCACTCTGCTTAGCCAGCCCCCTCCTCTGTTGTCTCCCACAAAGCAGGGGTGTTCTCCTGGAGCCTTGGCCTCCCTTCCCGGGGTGTCTCCCTCCAGCTCCTCCATAGATGACCCTCCGCTCTTTAGGCCTTGGATTAAATTCTGCCTCAGACAGTCCTTCCCTGACCCATGGCCCAGGGGTGCGCCCCACGTCCCAATCCCCCCATCACTTGGGGCACACGTCACCCCTGAGATGATCACATCTCACTGTTCATCTTCCCTCCTCATCTCTTCATCGTTACAATTGTCTTCTTCACTTGTAGATTTAAGTTCCTCTGTGCTGCTAGAGTGGGAGGGACACACCTGTCTTTGTCACTTGTCACGTAGTAGATGTGCTCACCAGCAAAGTCCAGGGGATGAATTCGGAGCCCTCTGCCCAGGAGGAAGCAGGCCCACTGCCCGTGGGATGGGGGTGCAGGAAGGCCCCAGGGCCCATACCATGAGTTGCTCCCCCGCTTCCTGGGGACGAGGTGACTGGGCAACAGGCTGGTGGCAGAGCAGAAGCCCGACCCTCCAGACTCCGAGGCTAGTGCTCATCCGATCCTGAGGGCTCCCTGCAGTGTGGACGGCGTGTGGCTTTGCCGGGGCCCCAGGAGCTCTGAGGTCTTTGGGAACTCAAAGCCCTGGTGGGGCGGTGAGGTTTCCTGTGGGCTTTTCCCTGACGCCAGCAGCCCGGGGAGTATTTGGAAGCAGCCCTGTCGAGGCTTGTGTGGTGATTCTCTGCCTTCACCCCTAGGCCTGCATCCGTTCCCGGCTACCTTCGGGCCAGATGCCACCGACAGCCCTGTTTGAAGTGGCTGAAGAGTGACACCTCCGGGCCCAGGGGCTGCTTTGTTGGCAGAGGGTCCTTTTCCTGCTGGGCTGGCTGCCGGGGCCAGAGGAGCTGACGCCACTGATTGTGAAGTTCAGAACTGGGGTCGCTTTGGCGGGTATCCGAGGGGCCTGGGCCCTTCAGGCAGGAGTCCTGGGAGCTGCTGGGCCGGCTCTGG